GAGGAGCTGCTGGGGCTCCCGCAGCCTCCTCGACCCTCAGGGACAGTCCCCGCTGGTTTCACAGCCCGGAGTTGTGGGGACGTCTCTTCCCCGTCCTGGAGCCCTGGGCTGGAGGCCTGCTGTGGGGCTTAGACCCCTCCCTCCTCCGGGAAACCTCCGCCACCGAGATTCCCTCCCGGGTTTAACCTGCGGCACCAGGTGTGGGCCGGGGGCCTCATCTCCAGGATTCTGCCCCCATCCGCCCGTGTCTCCGCCCCTCCTCCTGGTCTCGTGCTTCTTCAGTTCCCTGGTTGTGGGGCTTCTGTTCAGCCAGATTTCAGGAGGCTCTGAGTGATGGTGGTTCTGTGTTTTAGTTGTAATTTTGATGTGGTTGCCGGAGGCAGCGGGTACAGCTGTTCCCTACGCCGCCATCTTGATATGTCTCTCTCCCTCAGTTTTTCTTTTGCTATTCGAGTTCTTTTGTGGTTCCATACAAATCTGAGGATTTTTTATTGTAAGTCTGTGAAAAATGCCATTGAGATTTTAATGGGGATTGCATTAAATGTGTATATCACCTTAGGTTATATGGCCATTTTAACAATGTTAATCATTGCAATCCATGAATATGGAATGTCTTCCCATTTCTTTGTGTCTGGTTTGACCCTACTTCTAGGATACAGAGATTACTCCAAAGGTGTAGTCCTTCAGGACGCTCAAATAAAAGCTTAAGGTATTATGGGTTCCCTTTCCCTGAAATGGCCTATTTAACAAACTCTATCAAACTAGCACTGCAAAACGCCCAAGTCTCTGCTAAGACCTCCAGCCTCCCATAGGCTGATTTCCACTTGGTGTTTTGATATCTCACCAGCCCATGTTCAGCTTGGGAGTAGTCAAATTCCTTAATGAGAAATTACACATAGAATTTCAGGCTCACTTCTCTACAGTTTTTCTGTTCCAGAATCTTGGCCTCACAAGCCTTAGCTGCCTTAGTATCTTTGACCTCAAACATCTCTCTACTCACCTATCACACTGCCAAAAGCCCCAGGCTGTAGTATTTTGCTCAGTCTCTGTTTCTCATGATATCATTTGGCAAATGCATTTCTTTTTGAGGTGTAAGGAAGGTTAACTGGGGAAATGACATTTAAATGGAGACATAAAGGAAATGTGGTTACAGAAACTTTGGTGGGTGGGTGAATGTAGTGATGTGGGAGGTTGAACTAATGATCCTTAACTCAAAGTACAGTGTCTGGTACAGAGTAAGCATTTAACAAATATCTTTTGGTTAAACGTTAACTCTAATTCAATGAATATTTATTTAGTGTCTCCTTTATTCCTAGCACTAGGTTATTAACTGAGGAAACAAAGTTGAATATGTCATGTGCTTTTCTTTCCAGAAGTTAAAAATAATCAAAGGAATATTTCTTTAAAAAAGGATTCTTGCCCTAGCCAGTTTGGGTCAGTGGTTAGAGCATTGACCCTTGGACTGAAGGGTCCCTGATTCATTTCGGCCAAGGGCACGTATCTCNTTGACCCTTGGACTGAAGGGTCCCTGATTCATTTCGGCCAAGGGCACGTACCTCGGTTGCAGGCTCGTCCCTGGCCCTGGTCAGGGTACATGCAGGAGGCAACCAATTGATGTGTTTCTCTCATATCAGTGTCTCTCTCTCTCTCTCTGTCTGTCTCTCCNTGCAGGCTCGTCCCTGGCCCTGGTCAGGGTGCATGCAGGAGGCAACCAATTGATTTGTTTCTCTCATATCAGTGTCTCTCTCTCTCTCTGTCTGTCTCTCTCTTCCTTCCATCTCTCTGAAAAGCAATGGAAAAAATATCCTCAGGTGAGGATTAAAAAGAAATAATAATAATAAAATCGTTCCCATTCAAGTAGTTTGAATAAAGTGCTAGTTACCATGTTTTTTAAATCTTTACCCTTTGGGACAGTATGGATGGACCTGGAGAATATTATGCTAAGTGAAATAAGCCAGACAGAGAAAGACAAATATCACATGATTTTACTTATATGTGGAATCTAAAGAACATAATAAACTGATGAACAAAATAGATTCAATGACATAGAAGCATGGAACAGACTGACGAATCTCAGAGGGAAGGTGGGGGTGGGGAGAGATTAACCAAAGAATTTATATGCATCTTTGCATAACCCATGGACACAGACAATAGTATGGTAAAGGTCTGGGGCAGAGAGTGGGTGTGGGGTGGAAGGGATCAATGGGGGGGAAAAAGGAACATCTATAATATTTTCAACAGTAGAGATGAATTTTTAAAAATGTTTTATTTTTCAATAAAAATTGTATATATTTAAGGCATACAGCAATGATGTTTTGACATATGTGTACCTAGTGAAATGAGTAATGTAGTCAAGCTAATTAACATATGCATTTCTTCTTATACTTACCTTCTTTTGAGGGAGGTGGTGTGGTGAGAGCACTTGAAATTTATTTTTTTAACAAGTTTCCTGTATAAAATACAGCATTATTAACTACAGTTATCATGCTGGACACTAGATCTCTAGAACTTAATCATTCTACCTAACAGCAACTTTGTACTCTTTGACCAACATCTCCCCATTTCCCCTACCTTCCCAACCCTGGCAACTACTATTCTGCTCTCTGCTTCTATGAATTTGACTTTCTTGGATTCCACATATAAGTGAGGTCATGCAGTATCTGTGTCTTGCTTATTTCACTTAGAATAATGTCTCCAGGAACATCTATGTTGTCGCAAAAGACAAGATTTCCATCTTTTCGTCTTTTTTATGGCTGAATAATATTTCATTGTGTGTGTATATATATATATATGTGTGTGTGTGTGTGTGTATATATATATATAGACACGATCATGTGGTTTTTCATCTCTCATTCTGTTAATGTGGTATATCACATAGATTGATTTGCATATGTTAAACTAACTGTGCATTCCATGGATAAATCTCATTTAATCACAACTGAGACTTAATTAATGAAATGAAAAAGCTTATGATAATTATATGAGGAGGTAGAGAATTTCACACTAAACAGGGGACATTTGTGAAAATGGAATGGTGAAGATTGTGAAATGGCTGGTCAGAGAACCTCTAGTCAAGTTTTAATTCAATGTTGAACAAAGAATGGGACCTGGAGACTCAATAAGCTTCAATGTTGAAGAATGGGACCTGGAAACACAGAAGGCTCTGGTCACTTGTAATCAGTGAAGCTGTGATAAGAATCTTAGTTGCAAGCCCTTTGGCAGCTCTCCTCACCTGGACTCACCCCAGCACAAGGCTGTGTTTCTTGTCGTTGGAAATCTCTTTTCTTTGCTGGGGTTTCTCCTAATATATCTTATTTTCATTTTGGAATCTTCTCTCCTCCACTCAACTTTCCACAGAGGATATTCTCTGTCTCTTCATCTTAACTAAACCTGATTGCTCGAAAAGGGTACATCTGCTTCTCAGCTCTATTGAAGAGAAGATGCCTACTCCCCTCTTCTAAGGCACCATTAACAATGTTGACATTCTCCTAGCTCCTTACCATATTTTTAAATTGTTTATTTGCAATCTTCATGACAAAACAGTTGACTCACTGACACCAGTATTACCCAGCTATGAAACAATATGCTATTGTTCTCAGAGTCCTTTTACTGACCATCCAGTCTTCTCATTTAGTAAAGAAGTGACCACTGGATTCTTGATCCTTTAACCATCTCAGTCCTGCCACAGCATTGGCAACTTCACACTATGTGGATGTAGCATTAGGCAATGTGACCTCAACATGCCTAGACCTTCTTACAGCATCTACTGTCTTCCACAATCCATGTGAGAACTTTGCTGCAATCACCTCAATTAGATTCAACTATATACAGCACTTTCCACCTCTGTGGTTTTCATAAATTAGAAGCTGTTTGTCTTTATGCTCTGACGTAAATAGCATTTAGATTATTCCTTTTTGAGGACTTGACGAAGTTAATTATGAGACCAGCTAGCCTACTTCTTTGTTGGGAGGTGGGGAGAATAGCTCTTTGGCAGACTTTTCTATATTATTCCTGGAATTCGATATGTTAAAAATGCCTGTTTCTTTTGCAGTATCTTTCATCAGTTTATTTTTCCAGGTGTTTATCCATTCCCATCTAGTTTTTAGTTTTCTTTGAATACAGTTGAAAAAAGTAATTTCTTAAAATTATTTGAAATTTCTCTGTGTGGTGGTCTTTCACTCACTGTAACTCTAAATTTGTGTTTCTGCTTTCTCCTGTTCCAGGTAAGTTAGTCATCTTTCTCTTTCCTTCTTTCTCTCNATTTTTCCAGGTGTTTATCCATTCCCATCTAGTTTTTAGTTTTCTTTGAATACAGTTGAAAAAAGTAATTTCTTAAAATTATTTGAAATTTCTCTGTGTGGTGGTCTTTCACTCACTGTAACTCTAAATTTGTGTTTCTGCTTTCTCCTGTTCCAGGTAAGTTAGTCATCTTTCTCTTTCTCTTTCCTTCTTTCTCTTTCAGTCTGTCTCTACCTCTTTCTTTCATTCGTTTTCTTTTTAGAATACTTCTCCTCCTCCTCCAAAGGCAACCAAAATTATGAATATACAGTTTTCCAAAGCATTTGTAATATTTTTGCTACATACATATGTGCATGTGCATATGCAGACATATATGTAATAACATTTTAATATATTTGAAAACTACATCCGATTTGTAGTAGGAAAGGAGGGAGACCAGGGCATATCAGGCAATTAGAACATACTTTAATCGCTTTGTACATAAAGTGCTGGTATTTTCCACTTTGTCCACTTTTATTTATCAGTGCTCTGTAAATGTTTTAAGAAGTGTTCAGGGCTCTTTTACTTACCATCTGTGAGAAAAACCTATAGACATTGTCCAGTACTTTTCCTAGAGCTATTTGCATTTCTTTGTTTCTTAGGCTGTAAACTATGGGATTAAGCAGAGGAGTCAGCACTGTGTATGTCACAGCCATCAGCATATCATCACGAAATGAATCACTGTCCTTGGGTCTCAGATAGACAAAGCCAGCAAATCCATAGTGTAGGCACACTACGGTGAGGTGAGAGGAGCAAGTATAAAAGGCCTTATACCTCCCCTTTGCAGAGGGCATCTTCACAACTATGGACACAATGAAGACATAGGAGATCATAATTAAAACAAAGCTGCCCACCAACACAAAGACAATGCATACAAGAAGGATCATTTTCTGAAACAAAGTGTAATCACAGGCAAGGGAGACTACAGGTGCGATGTCGCAAAAAAAGTGCTGGATGGTGCTGGAGTCACAAAAAGACAAGTTGAATACTATGAGGACAATGCACAACGACATCACGGTCCCAGTGACAGAAGAGGCCATCAGGAGCTGAAAGCAGATCCTGTGGGTCATCAGGATGGCATAGCGCAGCGGGTTGTGAATGGCAGTGTAACGGTCATAGGACATGGCGGCCATGATGAAGCAGTTATTGCCTGCCAAGCCGAAGAAAAAGAACATCTGTGTGGCACACTCAGGAAGAGAAATGGTCTTACTGTCCGATAGCAGGTCCACTAGCATGCGGGGGATGATTACCATAGTGGCACAGGTTTCTGAAAACGACAGGCCACAGAGGAAGAAGTACATGGGGGTGTGAAGGTTGTGACTGAGCTTGATGGCCACCATTACGGACACATTTGCAGCTAGGATAGTCACATGGCAGAAGAAAATCATCACGAAGAGGAGACCCTGCAGGTCTGGGAAACTGGAAAATCCCCGCAGCNATTATGGACACATTTGCAGCTAGGATAGTCACATGGCAGAAGAAAATCATCACGAAGAGGAGACCCTGCAGGTCTGGGAAACTGGAAAATCCCCACAGAAGGAAGGTGCTCACTGTGGTTCGATTGCCCATCATCTGGTAGGCTCAGTAACTTTCTCCCACAGAGGCAGATATTCTTGAGGTCAAGACTCTGATAAGATTATAAAAAGCACTGATGTCATCTAGACTTTAATCAAGGGTCCCTGGGCAATATTAAGACTATTCTCAATGAGAGAACATGGGAAATGGGAATTAAATGCACCTGGCTGAACACAAGGTCAGGACTCAGTGATGGGAAAGATTTTAGNTGAGAGAACATGGGAAATGGGAATTAAATGCACCTGGCTGAACTCAAGGTCAGGACTCAGTGATGGGAAAGATTTTAGTAGGAGAATCTGTGTAAATGTCATAAAGTATTCCTAAATATATCCTGGGAACCCTCTCATTTACCACCCCTTTATCTCCTCTGAAGTCAGAATCTGCATGAAAGAGGGAAATAGGAGAAATGCTATTTTCTCACAAGAGTATGAGGGGTAGCAGGTGTAAAATGTTTATGTGTGATCTAGGTATAGCCTGGCATACAGAAGTGCCTAACAGTGTTGACTGAATCAATGCAAATTTAAGAAGAAAGAAATTGTCTTGAATGGCTTCCAAACATTCTTGGAAAGTAATGCTATCTTCAGAGGTGCTCCCCGGAAGGCAGTGGCTGCTTGGCTAACACTTGGCAGTGCCTGCTATGCCATTGAACAGACCTAATATGAATTTTTGTTTTGAAATTTGTACTGGTTTTCTATCCATGACAATAAATTTGGGTTGGAAGTGTTCAATAACTCCCATTCATGCAGATCTTGAAGGCAAAATGGTGTGGAGAGACCATCCCCATCCTAGATGGCTCATCTGTGTTCACCGTGTCCGGGTTTATTCTTGAACCTTTAGAAAAATGTCCAGGATATTTTCTAACTGGTATCCCGTTGAAAAGGGCTGCTTTGTAGCACAGCTCTTAGAGCTTAAGTCCTCTGGTCATTTTCATGAGTTCTTAAAACACCCACTCTGCTGTGTGTGAGATGACAGCATGAAGGACAAGGCCTTTCCAAACAGTATGTGGTTTGGTTTCAGGCACTGTTGTCAGGGAAGGAAAGGAAAACAGTGAGAAGACATGGGTGTGGAGCTGACGGTTGAGGAAAGAATGGTAGAGACACACTGAAAAGTTTGTATGTTCTTTATGTACTGAATTACTGGGCAAAAAATATATAAGGAGGGATGTGAGGTAACCAGTATTTATGAAACATCTGCAGTGTGCTGGTCAATGTGCTGTGTGTCTGATAGAATTTTCTCACTAAATTTCTCCCAACAACTCTGCATAGTATTTTAATCCCGATGTTCCAGAAATTGAAACTAAGGTACAGGTTACTTGATTGACTACCCACAGCAGATGCATTAATTTCACAAATATTTATGTAATGTCTATGATGTGTTAGTCAATCCCATGCATGGGAAATGTAACATGGGATAAGACATATGACCTGTCTTATCTCAGATAGAGAAAAATGCCATCAAGAGAATTAAATGAAAGTGGTATGAGAGTGAAGGTCTAGGTGCTACTTTGAACTGTATGTAGAATCAGGAAAGCCCTTTCAATGGAACTTACCCTTTGTGATTGAAATGCATTAAGCAGCCCACCACTGAAAGAGCTGGGAGGTGGGGGGGAACAACACACAAGAAACAACTAGTGCAAAGATCTCAGGTGGCAATGAGCTGGACATATTTCAGGAACATGAAAATAGCCAATGTATCCAGAANGAAAGATTTTAGTAGGAGAATCTGTGTAAATGTCATAAAGTATTCCTAAAGCCAATGTATCCAGAGCACCTGTTTCATGTGTCATCTTAAACATCTTATGAAATAAATAGTNAGCCAATGTATCCAGAACACCTGTTTCATGTGTCATCTTAAACATCTTATGAAATAAATAGTAATATTATGCCCATGTTTGAGATAAGGAAACTACAGTTTTGAAACTTAATTTGTGAAGGTGATACACTTTGTTAAAGGGGGAGCTCGTATTTTTTACTCAGGCACAGTGACTCTGGAGAACGCCTTCTTAACCAAGAGATTAAAGTGTCCCTGCAGGTGCCCAGGATGGCATTCAAGGTCTACTACCCACCCCTATCCTATGCCACCAACCTCCCCCATATGGGAAACATCCCCACAGTCCCCAGACATGGCATGACCTTCTGTGGCTCCCCTGCTGCACACACATGTTTCTCTATTCAGTGTTCTCCCCACCCTCTCTGCTTCTTAAACCACAGTCTTTGTTTCAAACCCAATTCAAATGTCACCCCCTAGAAAGCCACCCCAGTCACTCTAATTGAGCTAATAAATTCTGTGTTCATATTTGATAGCATTATGATGACATTTTTTACATGTCCTACTTCTTTCCTAGTCAGAGCAGAGGGTTTTTTTGTCCATGCAGCATAACCTGGTAAATATAAGCATTTGTGTCATGACAGTTCAACAGATAAATGGGGTGCCATTTTCCCAAGGAAGTCTCACTTGGTTTTTTTTCTTAAGTGTGCTTACTAATTCTTCCCAACTATGTTTTTTTCTCTCTTTAGCATTTACCTAATTTGGACAGGTGCTAAAGGTTATTGGCTGTCTCCTTCAATACATTTCAATACCCACTTAGATATAGCCACATCACCTAGCAATGTGATAACTACATATTGATATTTAATACATACTTGTTTAATGAATAAAGTGCCCCCCCCCAAAAAAAAAAAAGAAAGAGAAATGCTGTAAACTCTTGGAGTGGTTTCCTTGGAACAAAGCAAAAAAGACTTATTTTCTGGTCTAAACAATATGCTTCATTTTCTGTGACATCAAATAACACAATCGCCATAACTGCTCCTATAATAAGGAGCATGTTGGGGTCTTCTCGAGAGTTATATATTCTCATTACAAGTTACTGGCTGATATTTCCAAGGAAATCAAAGTTCACGAGAAATTGGTATATTTAGGTTTGGAAACTCTCACTGTGATCCTCTTACTTCCTTTTTCCATTTGTGTTGATAATAAATCCTACTTTCCTCATAAACTCGAGGGGACCAGTGGTTGAGAATATGTCAGCATTCGCACTGCTTCTAGTCACCCTCTGAGGGACAGAGTTTGAGGGAGGTGTTTTCTGGCCCAGCAGTTTGTGATAAATTTACCTGCCTTGGGATATACACTTCTGTAGACTGAAAGGGACATAGTTGATTTCTTTCCCTGAAAAACCTGTTTTTCAGTTTATTCGTGCCCCACCCTTGCAGAGAGATGTAGGAACTTAGTATGTCTGCTTTCTTTGAGATATCAGTGAGACCTACAGGAATTTGAGGCTGCCTCTTGATACTAAGCCACCTTGTAGACTCTTGTCCAATCACCATATCAAAACCTTGAACAGTGGGCACTATAAAAACCTGTTTACCTCCCAAGAGATACATCAAAACCGTGACCAGCCTGGGGACCCCTGGGACCATTATGTCACTCATCATTCCCCATCAGACTGAACCGGAGGATTTTCTTGGTGGCTACACTTAATTTCAGTGCATGGGGCGATGTTCAAAGGTGGAGAAATGGGGAATATTTATCACCAGGTCTTTGGAAAAGTGCATTTTTCTTTCAACTCAATCAGAATAAAAGACAGCTTTGAGTCAACTTTTTTGAAATTTTCAGAAAAGATACAGGAATCCCCCCTTATCCATGGGGGCATGTGCCAACCCCCCAGTGGGTACCGGAAACTGCAGATAGTAATCAACCCTGTATATGTTATGTTTTTTCCTGTACATACATACTTTTTCATATAAAGGAAGCACTTTATGGCTTCTCTTTGGCATATTCGAATTGCTAACATCACTATTTTGTGTTTTGGAGCCATAATTAAGTAACGCATGGTTACCTAAACACAAGCACGACGACACCAGACAGTCAATCTGACAACTGAGTTGGCTACTAAGTGACTAAGGGTGGGGAGCGTCTATAGCATGTTTTCGCTGGACACAGGGATGATTCACATCCTGGCTGGTGTGAGACTTCATCACACTACTCAGAATGGCCCACAATTTATTATGAATTTTTTATTTTTGGAATTTTCCATTTAATATTTTCAGATCACAGTTGACCACAGGGTGGTTGACCACAGGGAAAATAAAAGAGTATGTTTTATTGAGTTATAGGCATGAATTCTGATAGACTATTTAACAAAATTTATGTAAATTAGATGTTCATGAGGTTCCTTTTTTTTCTGGTTATACATAGCTTTCTAAGTTCATATATATATATA